AGTATTCAGAAAGAGACAGAGAGAGAGAAGAGGGGAGGAGTAGATCTTGCGAGAACTTCCGGGCGGGTGAGAATAGCCACTTTTTTTTTTTTAAAGCAAGTGGCTATTCTCCAGCGTCGCACCGGTCAATAGATCAATGGTTATTCTCTGGCGTCATCATGTATACTTGCTCATTCATGTCGCTTCTCCACAGCTTTACATCTCTTGTGTCGGCACGTTACGGATATTATTGACAACTGAGTTCAGTGCCAGATACGCTTTCTTGTATATCCGGTTGTGACTGAGGGTTGTTGAAGCTTCTGGTGCTGTCACCTCTGAAACAAGAAATTCCTCCTTCTTCCATCACTGGAGCTTTCATTGATTGTTGGTGACTGCGTTTCCACAGGCTATGGTGAATCGCATTTCTGAAGAAATGCTGACCCTGATCATGAGTGTTTGTAAAGCCATAGCATGCTGACAGGGGAGATAGAAATCTGTAGAGAAGTGCCATTTGCAACTAGACATGATGCCGGAGAATAGCCATCAATCTATTGACCGGTGTGGCGCCAGAAAATAGCCGCATGCTTTTTTTTACTAGTTTATAATGCTCCCGACGTTTTTTAATACTTTTTTCCTAGTAGTAGTCTAGTATTTTGCATGCTGAACATGTTATATGGCCTTCATTTTTGCTGCCAATCAATGGTTATCGCGTTATTCATGTTTGAAACCAGAAATTACTAGACTAATATTGCAGTAGGACCAGTGGTGTGATAATATTTGACATTGGGGGTGTCTGGCCTGACCTAAAAAGAATGGAAGAGGCTAGCCGTACTTAATGATGGCTAGACTGCTAGGCTAGCCATACCTGGCAGGCTAGTTGTACTTAATGTCGGCTAAACTGCTGGGCTAGTCATACTTAATGATGATGGCTAGACTGACAAACAGCAAAACATAGGCCTACTTGAAATGTAAATAAATTTTTAGTTTACAATTTTGTTTGTATTTGAGACAAAACCAACAGGTGCCTTACTGACAGTGCATGTATTTTAAACCTGAATAATTACTGGCTGTAGTTATTCGCTCAGGGTGTGTGAATACTACGAAATGTTATTCGTACAGGGTGTGTGACAGTTATGAAATTATTTTCACACAGGGTGTGTGAATACTACAAAATATTATTGGCACAGGGCATTTCAAGAGAAGGATGGAAATTAATTGGGCCTAGCATTTCCTAATTTTTTCCCCCTCATCCCGTAGGGACAACGATCATGTATAACAAGATAGTTCACTCCTCTCTTTGAGCCAATTGAAAAAGTGTCCTCAAAATTTGGTGGCGACCTCTTCGAAAAAGTGCAGACTTTGCTAACAGAGTTAAATCTACCCTAGTTGTATGAAAAACAATAAAAGTGAAATTAACAGACTGTGCTTATCATATTCTTCTTCTGGAAAAACGAAAGAGAGCTTCAAAACAAAGACTCCAGAGAGCAATGAGTGCCTGCTTTAACCCTATTATACTAGTGTACTGTTGTTTTAACATTTAAAGCCTTTACCAAAAGGTGGGATACCCGGGTGTGACAAATGAGGTCCAAAATCAACGAAGGCTCGACCCTGTGCAAATATTTCTTATTCGCACACCCGGTGTGAATAATATTATTTCTATGCACTCACCCGGTGTAAATAAATTAATTCTTATGCGCACACCCGGTGTGAATAATCACTTCCATAATTACTAACGAGACCTGTTGATTGAGTAGGTGTTTTACTGCACTATCGACTCAGTTTAACGAGACCTGTGTACTCAACAGGTTCCATAGGGCCTAAAATAAGTACGGCTAGACTGGCAGGCTAGCCGTACTTAATAATAATGGCTGAATGATATACAATTTTAGTTTGCAATGCCTAAAGTATTTGTATTTCAGACAAAACCAAAAGATGCCTTATTGACTAGCATGTATTTTATAACCTGTATTATTTAGATCTATAATGAGACCTGTGTGCTCAACAGCTTTCGGTCAATAGGGCCTAACCTTGTTCCAAATGCGGATAGACTGGGCTAGCCTCTTCGAAAAAGAATCTGGGGGGTTTCAGGGGGATGCCCCCTGACCTAAAAAGAAACTGCGGGGGGGGGGGGGGGCATTCTCCCGTGCATTTCACAATGATTTGATGTTTTGGCAGTTACGATTGATATTTACTTGAAAGCAAATATTGTTTGCAAGGGTTGTAGTGGCCATACGTGTGTTCTGCAGCAAAAATTATGGCAGTTTAGCCCTCAAATCAGTGCATCTGTATGTGGGTGTATGCATATATAAGTAAAAATTTCCTTAGAAAGTATGACGTATTGTTTTGAAAATTTGAAAATTGGCATGCTTGGACAAATCCACATCAAGCTCCAAGTTTAAACGTGTATGTATGGGATTCCCTAAATAGTGTAGTGTGAGCTCAGTACAGTGTAGGCTAAGTTTGTAGCGTCATATTTTATTAGATTTTAGTAGGTCCAGAGAGAGTATAGGGCCTAGGATAAATATAACTAATCATAGCATGGATTAATACATTTTGAAGTAAGCCTACTAGTTCATATTGTGCCCCTCTGGCTGTAACTTGAATTTGCCACTAGACCACTAGATCTTGTGGACAGTCTATAAACAGATGTTACAAAGCAACATTATTGGATTACATGACCTTAGTGGCTTACTTTCAGTTTTTCTTTTATTTGTAATGCTTTGTTCAGTAAGTAACCACATGGAACTTTCAAAATTTAAGTTATTCGTATTATATTGTACTTTATTTTGTTTATATGCCCAATTATAATTCATAACTGATTGTAAACTTCATTTCAGACCAGGGGCTGTGGCAGCACTATTCAATGCTTCCTTCATGACAGGGCTGTGCTCATGGGGAGATGCTAAGTCTGCACCAAACTGGTGTGGTCCTCAGCTAAGAAGTCTGCTGAAGGCAGTGACCCTATGTCTGATTGTTGGGATTTTGGTCATAAGGTGAGAATAGGACTTGATATTCAGAATATTACTTGTGAATGGAAGATTTTCAATCACTGCAATCATTTTTGAGGATTCACTGTGCAGAGGAATTTTACTTCTACTGTATAGAGGATTGGTAACAAACATTTCTGATGGGTATTGCTGAGCAGCAGCGACTCCAGCTTAGCTCAACAATCTCAGGTGTTCCCAAAGTATACACGTGCTCCCTCACCCACACACTCTCTCTTTCAAACAAATGCTCACTTACACATACACACTACACATCTGTGATCAATTTATGGCAAAGTTCTTCTGCTCCCTACACAAGTGATGTTGAGAATACAGGTTTCTCTATAAAGGCAAAAGCCTGCTGTATCATAATTTTTCATGAATAGCAGGGAATCACGGTGAGCTATAATAGTTGAGGCTGTCTATACTTATTTTTGTCTGGCAGGTGTGTTCATTTTGATCCTACCGCAGTTTGTAGTTTCTCCACCCTACAAAAGAAAGAAGTTTCATGAGTCTATAGTGAATGATGTTGAATTGAAACTTGTGTGACTATACTCATAGTTGATATAAAAGATATTTCTCTCTTAGATTTTAGTTTTTCAATTACAGTGGTCTCCGCCCAAGATCCCTCGCCTTATGTTCCTGATTTGCTTTGAAAGATCCCCCTGTTTTAGTAAAACAAAATTTCTGCTATACAAAAGTCACCTTTAAGATCTCGGTCTGAAGGTTGACGTTTGGCAAAGATCCCGCATTTCAGATAATGGTTTACGGAACAAAAACAGGGTGGGGCAGCTAATCAACAAAGCAGTAAAAATTTGTGATCATTGTTCTTCCTACTGCATTACAGATCATCCACTCTCATGAAAGTGATCACAGCTCCTTTGTAAATCTCGATGAAGCGGTACAATGTTTGCCCCATACGGGATCACACAGAGGGGTGAACTCATGAATGCATTTGTTTTCCCCAAACACCGCACTCGCACCTAAGCTCTCTATCTAAACTTTTGTCTCAAGCTGGGTGGGTAGGGCCAACACTGCAAGTCTATGTCAGAGGTGATCACATCGAACTGTGAACTCTTCGGTGCTTTTGTTTCCCTGACCACTGCAGCAGTTGTCTCTGCACCCTAATTTTTGATTGACAGACTGAATTTTGATTGGTGCAGTCACAACGACAGAGGCAGGTAACCCAGTCAGAGATGGAAAGCTGTTAAATTTGGACAGGTACAGGGGAGGTGCAATAGGATTGGCATAGATCTCGAGACTATGATTTGATGAGTGAAAATTGCATGCCTTATGCCATTGTGATTGGTCATCAAGGATGACCAGTCTTTGCTTGCCATAAGCCATAAACCCACTCAGGGGTCACATCAGTTCATTTGAGAGAAAGGGAAGACCGTCACCGAAAATTCTCTCCTTGGTGTGTCGCCTAAGATCCTGCATTTTCCTTGTTCCCAAGCACTGGGATCTTAGGCAGAGACTACTGTAATTGAAAAAAAAACCCCCATTATTGTTCATATCTGCACCATAATTCTGAAATCACGTGTTTCAAAAGGTAAGCAGGCAGCGAGTTATGTTAGACAAAAATAGAGTGATCTGTTAGGTCAACATTTTGTCAATTCGATTGCTGATTTTATTGGAGGATGTTTCTTCATGCCTCATTTTGGAATCCAAAGGCTGTCAAATAGGGGTTCCTTTTGTTGATGTTTCAATACATATAGAATGTGGGTCTTGTTACCAAGTTTTTTTGAAAGAGATGAATAATCTTCCAGCTTATTCATATTTATTTGTGTTTAGAAGTCTTCTATATTTTGCTGCTCTTTTCTTACTTTTCACTGTCCAGTAGCCACATCTCAGCGTTGGAGCTTCATGATGGGATGGATTTTCTGGAACCGTACACAACTCACCACGGCCCTCGACACAAGAGGCACCGGCAGACAAGAGAATGCCAGCATATCAAGTACGGCAACGTGACCTTCTCAAAGCACCGTGCGAGCCACAATGACAGTCTTATTTTGCCATTAGTGGACTATCACTATTACATCAAGCAGGTCAGATGGATTTTGTGATTGTTTTATTGGTTGTTTTTTTCCTTTGTGTTTGTGGACTTTGATAGGTTGAGGGTAATATCTGTACCCCTATCCTCCACGCTGTAATTATATTGCACTAAAATTTATAAAGATTCTTTTGTGTAGGAATTCTCTTTCATTATAATCTAACACTTCCCTTACTACATGGCATCAGTCTTTCTTTGATCAGCTGGACTCTCAGTGAACACAAACCTTCATACTCCAAAATCATGGAGATGCTATAACACTGTCACAGCTAAAGTGTTGTTTAATACTCTGATCATCCCTCACCTCCCCCCAAAAATTTCTCATAACTTCTCAATAATCTTTTGGCAAAGTATTAGATTTCAATTTTTTGTCCTTATACTCTGTTTTTATATTTTTTTCTAGGGATATGTGAAGTTCCAGCTTGTTATGACAGTCAGTTATTATCTGTTTGATGTCGATAACCTTGATATTCCTCTAGGTTGGGCAGTACTGGGACCAACGGACTCTGTACATCAACCACCAGGTAGTGAAGAATCCACTCAGCACATTTTCTGTTCTAGAGCCGGGCCATAAAAATGGCTGCTCAAACAATCCGGGTCATCGGGAGACAGTTCAGAACAGTGCCAAACAGAAAAACTGCATCCTTGCCTCCAACGCTGGCTTTTTCAACATAACGTCAGACCAGTGTTTAGGTATGCTGTATAACTGAGCTGATATATAATTGCTGTTGCATGAAAAATAATTTACTCTATTTTACTATGATTTACAGGGTGTAGTGTAAAGACCACTGAAGTTTTTCATTTTTCTTGCAACAGGGATTATATGTTCATATACTATCTTAAATGATGGGTGGATTAAACTGACTGTAACTTCGTTCATAATAGTGTTGCTTTCATTTATAAATGATCTAATCAGTCTTTATTTTCATTTCCCACTGAGGCAAAAGAAAGAAGTGCAATAATGTTTACGGAAGCCAGAACAATGGAGTTTGTTGTTGTCTTCATTCTCAACTTCTGACAATGTTCAAGATGGCTGATCCAGGCGCTGGGCTATAAGCAATGAATAAGAATTCGTTTTTCTATTCATATTCCGTTGATGAAAGTGGTCCTTTGGACAGTGAGAATAGAAGTGAGGAGGAAGACGTGCTTATGCTTGGTGCTAGATTCATACCAATACCTTCCACTTCAAGTGAAGCATGAGGTGAAGAATTACATCTAGACAAAAGGGGCACATTTGTTGTTGAGACTCTAAAATCAAGGGTAGATTCTACATCCGTTGCTGGAAAAGCTTCTAAAAATTGGTGGAGAGTGCTTCCAGTTTTATCATTCATTTTGATTTGTTCTAAAAAAAGTTTTTATAAGTGATTTAATATAAATATAAACTGAGAAGTCATTTGGATTGTTTCTTTATGATGCTGATGTTATGTCAGAAAAAAAGACATGTAAAGTACCCATTTAAGTAAAAATATCCAATACCTATAATTTTATGGAACAAAAGTAGATCAGCTTCCTATTTGTCGATTGGGCCACATTGAAATAATCAGCTGTTTTCTTTGAACAGCTCTGAGGAGTGCATGCTTATACCTGTTGATAAGAATGAACAGCTGTGCAGGTTAAGGTTAACAGAAAACCAAACATTGATTTTTGAGCTAAAAATGTCTTGCCATGCCAATTAGCTTCCGGAAAATGTTTGGTTATAAAACAAGATCGATTTCGAAATGTTTTCAGAGATCTATCATGAAATAGACTTTACTTCCGACACTTGAGAATACTGTTTTCAATCGGAGCGGAGTTTACGAAAAAAAAGGTTTTGCTAATTTATAGGGGATACAGCAGGAAACAGTTTTAAGGCCAGTTCCGTTTTCAAGATGATTTGTTGGTTATGAGACTTATGTTCTTAATTGGTCGGGTTTTTTAAGCGGTATTGCTGGCCGTTAGCATTGTATTATTTCTCTGTTTTCATCCTTAGGAAACATTGTGTCTGACAAATTCCTGGTACAAGATTCTGGAGGAATTCAGAATGTACATTTTGGAGTTACTGAGGATGGAAACATTTTCACAGGGTTTGCATTTTACATTTTTTCCTTGCTGTAATATGAAGTTTTGCAGAAACAGTTGTAGATTTTATGCGTTTGTTTTAGACTGGATGATGTTTCTGAAAGTGCATGCTTGGTTTTTGCATTTGTAAGTTAGGAAATTGTAATTACAAATGTCTTTTAAAATTTACTGTGAATGCTGGTATTGAACAGAAAGTTAGCAGAAAATAAAGCTGTGACCTATATTTAAAATAACACAGTGAGCTGTGTTGAGTGTAAAGTCTTACTTTTGATGAATGTTCTGGTCGTCTAATGAGGGGTCAGAGAAATAAAAATAAAAATATTAGAAAGTAAAAATTTACTTGAGAAAAAGAAAGTTTTTATATTATTTTCAGATTAACAAAATAAAATTTTAAAGCTCATATAGAAAGACAGGAGATCTGTGAAATTGTCTGTGATGGACTAACCTTGTCGTGTCTCTGTGACAGATACCTTTCAGAGCTGGATGTGTTATTACAGGACTTCTCACAACTAGTTGGAGGTGTTCTTTGGCTGGTGAGGGATGGAGAGAGTTATGTGGATGAGAGTGCTAAAATCGAGTGTCCAGACACAGAGACTACTGGTAAGTTCCATACACTAAGTAGACTGCTGCATTACTTTGTAAAGTAGAATTGAATTGAATTAATAAAGAAATTGTCTTTTCAGTAATCTTTGAACATAGTTTATACCTCCTCCCCCATCCCCATCTCTTTCCGTCTCTCTGTCTCTCTTTGTCTCTGTCTCTCTCTTCTCTCTCTCTCTCTTTCTCTCTCTCTCTCTCTCTCTCTCTCTTTCTCT